GTGCCTAATTGTTTAATACAGACAATGGGGAAAAAAAGATTTGGATATTCAATGAATAAAATATATATAATAATAACACAATAAGCTTTAAATTCATTGAAAGTTAAATCATTTTATTTTAGTACTCCCATAATTTTGTTGTCCACAAAACCTCTAAACAAACCAAAGTGGACATCTTTTTTTTATCTTAACCAATCTTTCATTGGCTTGAATTTATTTTTTCTGGCCTTATCACAAAGCACGCCTACAAATTGCTTCCCAAAAATATATATAAGTCTATAAGTCATGCCCCTCGAATTTCCCTCGCCAAGCGACCGCAATCAATAAATTCGCTTTATATACATATTTTTTTTTTTTTACCATTTTTACTGTTCGCTTGGCCACTGGCTTTATTGTTTTGCTGGATGTTTAAAATGCGATAAATTAAATTAAATAGCTTAGCGGAGAGTGTCCCTTTATTTGGCTACTTACAGATTATGTGACATTTATTGTTCACGCTTAAATCTTGAAAATTGCAATTTAGCGCCGTCCTTTGTGTGGGCGGTGGTTCATCGGTGGGTGGTTGGGCGGATTGGGTGGTTCAAGGCTGGTGGGGGTGGCTTATCAGCTAGCCCAAGGACAGAATTATGTCCTTGTCGCCATCGTCGTCTTTGTCGCGTTTATTTTCTTTCCGCTTCTGCCCCTTAAATTTTCGCTTTAGTTTTTCTTTCGGTTTTCGTTTTCTTGGATTTTCCCCGATTTTTGTGCTGATGTTGACGGTGCCGCCGCACAGTTGTCTCGAGTTTCCGTTTTAATAAACGTCGATTCCGGCTTCCTGTTTGGCAGCACTGCGTATATATCTCAAGACCCCGGCGTTTTCGTCAACCAACCCCGCCGAATGGAAAGCCGTAATTGCAGGCAGCGTCTGGGGCTCAGTCTCATTTTCCTCGTCTCCGGCTGTGTCTTCATTTATTGCCAATATAATTTCTGACTTGGCTGGAAATTTAATTTCCTCCTTCGGCATGTGAGAAAGTTTTTCCATCGGCGCTTCGCCCGCCGGCCATGTAACATAAATCCAGAAATCCACTCATCCAGCAATCCAACATCGCCTTTGGCGAAAAACAAAGCAACAAAAAACGGATGTCAACACGGGGCAGCAGTCAAGAAGCCGAGCCAAAAAGGGTTACAATTTATGATTATTAAACGGGGAGCAAGTGAAACCGAAACGCGTCCCACTCTCATTATTTTTAAAAGGAAAAGCGCCTGGGGGAAAAGCCGAAATAACGCCGTAATAAATATAATGAAGACACAAAGGCAAGAGAAGCAATTGAAAAGGGATAAAAACTATATTTAAAATGCAGTTTAATGACAACTTTTACAGTTTCATTTATTTTTCTGGTGCAGTTCAATTAGATATTCCAGCCAAAAGCAACTTCAGTTTTAAAAGAAAGCATCTTAAAGTGACAGTGGCAATATCAGCAACCAACAAAAATGTCTGGAAACAGTCTCAACTTGGAAAGGTTAAGAAAAGAAAAGGGGAACGCCCCTCCCACAGACTGTGTCTTTTTGCTATAAAATAAACATATGAATATTAATGGCTGGCAGGGAGTTATCCTAGAGCCTTCGGGGAGTTAAAGTGGAGTTTATGCAAATAGAGTGCAAAGAAATGGAGACTTTCAACTGGACGGGAGTTTCCTGTAACGAAATGGAATGCCAAGATATATTTTTCTGAGGCTTAGCAAAAGTTTCGAACTTATGTATGCACATAGAGAAAGGGAACTCTGCCCCGATATTTGATCCCAGAGAAAGCCCGGCCATTAAGCAAATTCGTTGGCATTAGGCAAAGTGTTGAAATTATGATCTGTTAAGTGTCTAAATACGAGCACGGGCGTGTCCTTCGAATTGTGGAACGTCCTGAGGGGTTGTTTCGCATCCTGCTGTATTTAAAATGTCATTTTGTTGTCAACCTCAGACTTCTTGTCTTATGTCAAATTATAATTATGGCGCCATGCTACTAACGACATTAACACGACGCACAAGGCAAAAGCAAAAGCAAAAGGCAGCAGGCAGCAGGCAGCAGTAGCAGCCATTAAATTGCCTAAGCATACGAACCCTTGTCCTTGTGTCCTTGCTGCCCTGCCCAACCATCCAACCACCCACTCCCCACCAGCCCACCCACTTTTTGGGGAAAGAGGGAGTGGTCCTGCCTTCATTATCAGCATCGAAAGTTGAAATGCAGGCAAAGGCTTTGGCTTCTGCTCCGCCGGCAAATGAAACATTTTTGTTGTGTAAGGTTAAACGTTTCAAAAACTTTGTTTTAAAATCACTTAGCGCCCCCCGCACATACACTCGCGTCCACAAAAGTGGCACAGTGGAGTGTTAACCTTAGATTTTTGGTGATTTGTTATATATTTTAGAAAAGCAGTAAGGATTTAAGACTGCGATGCAATTCGTATTTCATAGAAAAAGTTATACCTCTGCAAAATGAAGTTGGAAAATCTAGTTTACTTCAAAAATCAAATTTTAATTTATTTTAATACTTTGTGTGAGTAATTTGTATAGCAATTTTATTTTCTTAAAGATTTTTAGCAATCCTAGAGAACCAAAAAAAGTTATTAGTTTTGAAACTCTATTAAAAACTAAATAGTTTTTGTTTTCTATTTTGGCGATCCACTGTGACCCCAAGCCCTCACATATGTCACAGTTGGGTCCCGTTAAAAGGGTGCAGACTTTGTCCACGTTGCCACCAAGCTGGCCCCCTGCCACGCCCCCGCATTTCCCAGCCCTTTTTCCGCATTTTCCAACTCCTTTTCCGTCGTCGTCGTTGTCGTCGCCTTTTGCAAAGTGGTGATAATTTCTGCTTTGTTGCGAAAATGACAACATTTTAACCCGGCACACACAAACACACATACACACACACACACACACAGACAGTGAGCCACCCAGCGCCACCCACTTTTTAGACCACCCACCGCCGCCTTTTCCACGCCTCCTCCTCCTTTTTCCGCACCTCCCTCCAGAAAATTTCCCACTTGCAATGGACGCGACTTGGGTCGACTTTTAATGGTTTTTCATCTTATTAGCAGGCAAAAGTTCTTTGTCGCCGTTATTGTGGATGCCACGCCCCCTGAAAAATGGTGGCAAAACGGGAGGCGGGGGGCGGATGGTGAAGGCGGTTGGAAAATGGCTAACAGCTACAGATTTATTTGCAATTTTTGCTCATTTGGCAAAACACAAAAGCGAGTAGATCTACAAAATGAGAAGACAAAAAAAAAAAAAAAAATAGAAAACAAAAATAGACAACGCCAAAGTCTTTTGTCTTTAGCCACTTTGCGAGCCTTCTCTGGTTACTCCTTCTTGTTGACTTGAAAAACCCCCTCCCCCGCCCACCGGATTTTCCATTTCCCACCCGCTTTTCCAGCTTGTTGCTCTGCTTTGCTCAGTTCTGCTGTTGCTGAGGGCGCATAATTAAAAAAGTTTCATTTCATTTTGTTGGGTTTCTTGGTTCGTTTCGCCTGTGTTTATGTTCATTTGTTTTCTTGCGTGGGTTTCTGGGGTTTTCCCCCACCATTTTCTCCACTTTTCCATTGCAGCCGTTACAAGCGAGGGAAATTCAGTTCAGTTCAGTCGTCGCCAGTTTGTTTGCTGCCCTTTGTCTTAATGATTACCGCCTTCTTGCGTTTTTTGCATGCTTCGTTTAATTTAATATTAATCTAAGAAGTTTGTTTGTTTTTTATGTCTTCTTATTTGGTTGTAGACCAGAAAGCTGCAAATGACTCGGAATTATAAGGCGGTTGGTTGGGGTTCGGAATTAAATGGATTATGAGGGCATACGACCAAGGAAAATTTACATACCATACTATGTTAACATATAGTTTTCATTAACAGATCATAAAGTCTTAAAGGAGAGGGGTATTTTTTTAACTTTTTAAAAGAACGTGTAACACGAAGAGCGTATGTTTTTAAATAGGTATTATTTTTGTAGATATTTTTTAATGTATTGTCCGGATTGTTCAATAAACTGTTTTTTAATTTAAATCAAGAAGATTACCTTGCACAGCACCCTTAAAACTTGAGCACTCCCCTCTGCGTGTTTCACCTTTTGTTGATTAACTCAAACATTTTGGCATTCGAAATGTTTGGCAAATGAATTTCGTATTCGCGCGCGTCTGGGAGTTTTACTTTATGGATATTTCAAATATGCAGCACAATGTTTAGGGGGTGGCTTTTTTGTCGGGCTGCGGAGGGTTAACAACAGAGTTGGGGGGTTAAATGCAGGGGAACTGGAATATGGGATATGGGATATGGCACCTGGACCACAATAGTTGGCATGTCAAAGACGCCACACGCTACTTAATATTGCATTGGCTGCAAAGGAAGTACATATAGTTGCGTGCCGAAGTCCACCGATTCCTATCCCCTATCTCCCCGATATAACCTCTATAACTCCCGATTCCTAGCATCCTCCGCCCATCCATTCATTCATTCATTTATGCGCTCTGCAAAATCTGCATGTCTGCTTTTTGGTGTGTGTGTGTTAGTGTGTGTGTATTTGTGTTTTTATGAAGCTTTCACAACTCCGTCGGGGGTTAATTTTCGCGAAAAACCTTACCGTTTCCCGTTTCTGTTCCATTCGCATTCGCATTCGCAAATCCGCACTTTAATTTCCATGTGCAGTTCCTCCTGCTGCTCTTCACACCGAAAGCCATTCTGTTTTGGCCATGGCAACCCGTAGGGTCATAGAAAATCTATAAATTCACAGCATAATTTGCAGCTGCCGTGGGAGTTCCAGAAAGAGAGTGGGTGCCTCACAAAGGTTGTTGGGGTGTTAGATGCTATAAAACCATTGCGATTTCTACGTGCAGAACGCTAAAATTAATCTTGAATATTTCTAATAAAAATATTGGAGTTCATAAAGCTTTGTTTGCTGCATTACAAAAGAGGGTTTGTAGTTTAAGGTTTTTGTATTAGTTTCTCTATTATGGTATATAATAAATATCTGTTATAAATTGCATTTTTAGGCAAGAGCTTCACCCTGACGATTGTCATCTCGACGAACCCCATCCAAATAGCCACCTACACGAAGGCCATCAAAGTGACCGTGGATGGACCGAGGGAGCCGAGATCCAAGGTGCGACACCAAGGATTCCATCCGTTCGCCTTTGGGCCACAGCGCTTTGGACCGGATCCACTTATGGCCGGATTGCCCTTCAAGTTGCCAGGTAAGCGGAACAGGTGGAGCATTCCGAGGAATCGGATTCGGAAGGCTTAAGCGATAACATCACCAAAACACTGGGGAAAATGGTTTAGAAGTAATTTAATTAAATCAGAAGAGTTTCCATATCTTGTATATTTTATAATTTGCTAATGGAACTGGTGGATCTTATTTTATTTAAGCATAAATTGATAAACTAGTATATATATTAACTAAATTGTATTTATGAACGTTAACATTATAAAAATTCATTTTTTCGTGATCAAATTCTCTCGAATTCCCTATCGAGAAGATTTATAAGTTTTAATTCCCTTTTCAACACATAATTTAAGTTTACAAAAATTCTTTTTTAAATGTCATTAAAACACAATGGTCTCAGGACTATGAACTTATGACCTTTTAGGCTTTCAGTTTCACCTATTTTTCCTCCAGTGTCGCTGAGTTGAGCGGAGCTAAACAGGGAACTAAGCGGCTTTTGGGAAATGGCCTCAAGGGCTTGTCGCTCGTTAGACGCCGAGCCACACGTATCAATGTCAGTCGGGCAGTTGGGGGTTAATGCGCGGGGCACTTTAGAGGGCGAAGGGGGAGTGGGAGTGGGAGTGGGAGGGTTAAGGCCAGGTGAGCTTATTGCCTGTCTATTTTGGCCGCGGGCTACAAGCGAAATTAGCTGTAAATAAATATACCCTTTATCCGGGGGTTAAACGAACCGAAGCCGAAATCCCGATGCCCGCGGCTTTGGACCAGCAAAAGCTGGAAAATCAGGCGGGGATTGGCTAATGGGTTAATTAGAGATCTTTGCCTATAACCCGATAGGTCGGCCAATATACCCCGTCATTATGATAAGAACCCGTTTCGAGCTTCTCATTTCCCACGATGGCCGCGAGCTCCTTTTTTTTGGGCTCATCGCAAATTGAGTTGGGCTTAGTTTTTAATGAGCTGACTTGCGCTTTTATGGCGTTTTAAGGGGTTAAGGGTTATGTTTAAAAAAAGTACAACTTAAGTGAGAGATGTATGATTATTAGGGGCCAAGGAAGGCGCATTAGATTAACAGCATTTCAATGTTTTGGTTTTCTTGGTTTTCTATTTTATAACTACTTTCAATGATCTTAAATCTTAAACAAATGAATGTAATTTTTTATATTTTATAATAAATTACATTAAATGTAAAAGTAGAATGCTCAATTATTGCAAAATTAACCTTTAAGTATCAGTTCGTTTTCCACATGTTCTCATGTTTAAAACTGCCTCTTAAGTTTCGTTGGAAAACTTTGCCCCAAGAACCCGACTTTGCCGTTTCATTAACACCTCAAGCCATTAGCATAAAGATGATGACAAATGGAGCGGGCTAAGGACGAAGGACGAAGGACGAGGGACGATGGGTTCCTGTCAACGCCACCCTGTTCGCAACTGAACTGAACTGAATGTGTGCCCTATTTATGGAAACAGAGCGAGACACAATAGAGGCGACAATTATACAACAAAACAACAGCTTGAAAAATCCATTAAAATGATTTTAATCCTTTAACGAGTCACGACGAAAAGCGACTTGGAAATGCGCATCGCGGGGGTTGCACACAATCCGTTTGGCCCGAAAATCCAAAGCCAAAAACCCAACCCTTAAGCCTTAAATAATTTTAAAGAGCCTCGCGCGACTGTTGCAACAATAAACACGCGATATAACCAGGCTGCGAACAAGGATAACGATGGCAAGGACGATTGCTTTAGGGGTTGGGTATTCCGTGCCCCGGAAATAAAAAAAAAAAAAAATAAAAAAACGAGAAACAAGAAACAGTCGTCGCCTGGTGAACAAATCGCTTTTGATACGCTTTGATTTTATTAAAATTTAACAATTCGCTATGAAATTTATGATGCCTTCGGGTGGTTCACTTCGATTCCATTCAATTTGATTCGCTCCGGCCAAAAGGCTTACGATCCACTTGTTTTGTGCACTGTATCATTTATGAAACGGTTTCGTCCTTAATGGGCAAAAATGTCTTGACTTTCTTTGAGATGCCAATCAAACGATTCTGGGGCTTAAAAATCTTAAGGGGATTTTGTTGACTTGAAGTCTAGAGTAATTATTAAAATAAATTTGCTGTATTTATACTATATTTCATTTATCGATTGTATACATTATTTACTTATTAATAATTGGTAATTCTTAATCATTTTAAGATCAAGCTCGCAAGTTTTTGTCGTATAATTTATGTTGAACTGTTACCCATGTCCTGGCGAATCACTTAAAGAAATAACTTGTGTCGCCGGGTAATTTTTGGGGGGGAATTCCAGGGGTTCGCTGTACTCCCCGCACTTCCCTTCATTTGCAAAGTGACACAGCAGCTGAAAAAGTCTCAAAATTACATTAAAAACTAAAAGGACTTTATGTCGGCAAATGCGTGTGTGTGTGCATGTGAGTGTTCGTGTGTGTGTGTATGTGTTGGTGAGTAGTTTTTTGGCATACGGAAAACGTAGTTGACTCCTTTAACGGGATCTCGGGCTGCGTGTCAGGGAAAGTTTGCCAAATGATTAAAAGGACTCGGCAAATATGTGCGAGAGTAGTTGAGTAGTATGGTATAAAATATATAGTGGAGAGTCCTTTCCGCCCGGAGACGTTGTAACGAAATAAATATAAAATGGCGTTGTAAGCAGAAGCACATTAGTGACAAGTTTCTGCAGGGTCCCCGGTACACTGAGAAAAAGGTTAATGGATATTCCTTTTCATTTGAATTTTTATGATTTTCTTAGGTAGCTAAATCAATGGAAATTATTTGATTTTAAAGGCAAATACATAAAGTCAATACAAAATATTTAGAAGTCCATAAATTTGTGATGCAAGTTAGAACAGATATATTGTACTACTTTATTTCTCCGTGTCTTTCCGAAAATTTCCCACTTTCCTGCATTGCCTCGCATCCTTTGGAAGGTGCCACCTCCCTCTCTGCCAGTGTGTGTGTGTGTGTGGAAAAGTGGAAAATTTGTAGCTTCCGCAGCGGATATCCTGTTTCACACACGCCTTGCTCCCCTCCCTTTAACCCTTCCCTCCCCCCTTCCCTTTCTCCTTTGATACGCAAGGCGTGTAACTAAAAAAAGTTTCGCGCTGCGTTTTTAGTGAAAATTATATTAAAATTTTGCGCTTGATGTAATTTATGTCATAAAAACCCCGAAAGGAAGAACAAAAAAAAAAAAAGAGGAGGCGGCGACGCGCTAATGTTGTAAATGAATTTTCTGCTCGAATTAATTTCCACGGAGCATCGCAAGACAATGCCCGACATTCAACCATATGATTTTTACCCTATTTAAGATTATTTATTTAAAACCCCTTTTTTAAACCCAGAGTCGCCGTCAAAGGCGAAGGCAAAGATCAAAGTATGCTGACTCCACCCTGAAATGCAAATACACAAACGCATTTAAGTACACACGCTTTTTGTGTTGAGGTTGAAGTCCAGAAAGTGAATGCCAATCGGGGAGGAGATCAAATCAATGAGCTCTCTTTAATTGTTTAACTTGGGATGCCCCGCACTTCAAGAAATATGTAGTTTAAAACATTAGTTTTCGTAGTTATCTAAACAGTTTAAATATTTATTCCAATATTATCTAGATAGTATAAGCATTAAAACTCCACTTTATTAAAGTTAGTGTTCCTGTTCTGTTGACTTCTTAACCCTTCACTTATTCAGCTCGAAAAGCCTCCGCTTGTAACATATTCTTTCATGTTCTGGCCCTTGTAACACTCCCATTCCTTTGCCAGCATAAAAGGGGGTGGCTTTAGTCGAGCCCCTAAAGGGTTAAACGCCAATGCCTTTAAACAAGTTAATAAACTCGGCATCACCCTCGCCAAAAAATAAATAAAAATGCCAAAAAAGGGAAAGAATGAGATGATTTAGTACATATAATCAAACATGCAGACAGACGCACAAAATTTGCACAGTCACCGGCAGTTGGGGGTTAAGGCGAGGCCTACAGCTCAATTTGGCAGACAAGAGCTAAACACATACACACACGCACACCGAGGGAGATATTTTAAAGTCATTGTCCTTGTGGGAGTCCAAAGGAGTCGCCCCACCCTCTCTTCCTCCCTCCATTTTGCTCCCCCGAAGGACATATTACAGCATTGATTCAATTTCATGTCAATTTACGTGTCAATGCGACACTAATACGCCAAGGGTCGTGGCCTGTGCCAAAAAAAGGGAAGCTGCAAATGGTAAAACTTCGACGGGGGGTTCAACAAGGTGTGCGTTTAAAATTATTTATAACATTTGCGAAAATATGTTTGCCAAAATGTCGGGGGGAGAAACATTTTTTCCTTCGGCTCCCTGAGAAGTATGCTACCAATTTTTTTTTGGGCAATAACTTGCGGCCTGTTTGCGCCTTGGCCTTGAGCTGTATTGGTGTGTGTGTGTGCACCTAAAGAAAATGTTAGTACCGCTTATCATATTCTACAATTATTATGCAAAAAATATAATTTAATGTGCCACAAGCAAACTATGAACAACTAATGAACTAAACTCATTTTTGCTTGATTGTATTTTATAAACTCGGATTAAAATGGTTTTAAAATCGGATTTATCTGACATAATTCTTTTACTCCAATGCAAAAAAAAAATAGTGAACAAATTTTCTTTCTGTGTGTATGTGTGGCGGTGACTGCGTGGCCTTGTGTGTGTGAGGTTGGCATGCCAAGGCAGCAGCACCACCCACACTTGAGCCCACTCCAATGTACCCATGTCTCACTTATTGAACGCATGTGTTGACAACACTTGTGTAACGGTGAATTTGTGCGTATTGTGCGTGTGTGTGGGCGGAATGGCAGGCCGTTTAATGGAAATCGGGTGGCAGATTCCGTTACCAGGGATCCCTGTCAGCAGCTTACAAAATAGCAACAAATTTGCCAAAACAATTTGCAAATCTACAACAAATACATGTAAATACTGATATGACAGACACTTTGGCTGCGAACAAGGGGGCGGCGGGGTGTGTGAGGGGGGCGGGGGGTGCAGCGACCTTTCA